TAAGTATATTTGGTTATCTATTTGCAGATGCTTGTTTGCTAAGTAAATTTTCGATGCATGATTTTTTGATTTTAATCATCGTTTTCTTAATTCCTACTATAGCTTAAACTACATTTTTTTATTATTTGCAACCACTGCTAATCCGATATGACTTTATTTTCAAATATATAACTATATATATCCATATTCTTTGAAGTGCTGTTAAATGTGCTTTTAAACGTCTTTACTTCAACCCAAGCTTTTCCTGGTGAATGCTTCTTTACAAATAAATAATTTATATCTCTGTCACGGATGCATAGAATCATATATATATATATATATATCCTAGGTTTTTTTTAGAACTTGATCGTTTTCCTATCTGATTTAGAAATTTTACTGCTATTATTGATGAAGAAGGACAAATTTTGTTTGTTCAACTGTTTGCACTGTTTTGACATGTATTTTGAGGAGTACTAACCTTTTAGAAGTAGACAGCTTTATCTAGACGGCAACTTCCAAAGTATAAAAATCCAGTGTAACCAATTTAACGGTATACTTAAGAATCGACTAGGCTTGACTAAATCGCACCATAAATTGATCTATGATATCTATTTACCTCATTGCTAGTGCACACTAAATAGTTTTTATTACCTTAAAAATTAGTAAAAATTCGCTCAAATAGGTTAATTTTTTATCCTACACATCTTTTGATGTTCGTTCATATTCACATTATGTTATACATAAATACTAGAAATTAATTTGTTTTTACCCTGGCTAATCGTTGATCCTAAAAATGCTTGATTCTTAGAAATACTTAACTTATTTATTTGGGCTCGTTTTATCTCTTAAGGAGTATTCGAATTGATGTCGGAGTACATTTCATTAAGTTTGAAGAAGCAAGTGGATGGAGTTCGTAAGTTGGCCTCATCGGAAGGTAAAGGGGTGGTTTTATTCAGAGCTGTTTGACTTTATTTGTGCGAATAGGTCCTTGGCGCACTTACCTACGACCCCGATGAATCTTTGCCGAACGTTTGTCCCTGATTTTATGGATCAGCAGCGCAGGACTCACCTTAGGGTAAATCACCAAAACACGAAAACGATAAATATGGTCTGCTGGAAACCTACCTATCTCTTATAGTCTAACCTTTTTCACTTGATTTAGTTGGATATCCTATGCTTTCCCTAAAGGTTTGCTTAAAAGTGGCTGCGAATGACACTTGAAGTAGTT